ATTTTTCAAGATAGGGCTTCTTTGTATAACAGCCTTGGCTGTCCTGGAACTCACTTTGTGACCAGGTGGGTCTCGAACTCACAGAGATCCGCTTGCCTCTGCTTCCCGGGTGCTGGGATTAAAGGTGAGCTACCACCACCCGGCTTGCCTCTCTGTATTTTTGAGACAGTGTCTCACTCTGTAGTCCAGACTGACCTGGAACCCACTATGCAGCTCAGGATGGCCTCAAACTCTTGCAGAGTGTTCTGCCCAGCCTTATGAGTGCTAGAATTACATATGTAAGCCATTGTGCTCAGTTTGTAAACAGATATTTTGTACATCTAAGTGTGCACACACATGCAAACTGTATGAAATCGCACTATTTCTTATCCTTTTTTATTGTTGCTTTTGTTTTGTAAGACAAAGTCTCAGATAGCTCAGGTAGTACTCGAATGCTCTTATGTAGTAGGGGATGACCTTCAAATCCTGACCTTCCTGTTCTACCTCCCAAATTCTAGGATTACAGGCGTAGACCATCGCATATGACTGAAGTCATACTCCTGACTAAACATCATTGACATTCACAAATCAAATATTTGGATCGTTGCAAGATAACCAGTTAAGACTTACAGAGGATTGCAGAGGCAAATGTGGTTATAAGGATAACAGTATGGCTTCCATTCATTTCTTTCTACAAGTTTGAGTCACCAATTAAGTTTTTCTACCTGTAATTGACAACACCTGTGATGGCTTTTCCACTATGAGTACCTATTTTTCACCTTTTTTTGTGGGGGGAGTAACTCTGTTATGTGTCGGATACTATTCTGAGTTCCTGGGTTAGAACAGTGAAGCAAACAGTCAAAGGTCCATGGTTTGGCAAGGTTTGTGCTTCAGTGAGGAGAGGATGGATACAGTCAACAAGGAAGAAGTTCCCTGTGTGTCTGGGAGAAATGGTGATGGAGAGGGGTGTTGGGAAGGCTTCCTCAGGAAATGGGCTTAAGTGGAGCCTGGGAGTTGCGTATCTTGGGGAGGGATTTCTAGGCAGAGCAAATGCCTCCTCTTGGTATACTGCTCCTAGCTGGCCAAAGCTGGCACTGATTAGACCCAGCTCTCCCTCTCAATACTTACATCTGCTCACATGGACTTGAACAAGACAAATACAGGCTACCATGGTGAACTCACTGTTTTGGTTGGGGTTTTTATATTGCTGCGAAGAGACAGCATGAACATGGCAGCTCTTACAAAGAAAACATTTAATTGGGTGTCTTGCTTACAGTTTCAGAGGTTCAGTCCATTATCACCATGACAGGAGCATGGTGGCATGCAGGCAGACATGGTGCTGGAGTAGTAGCTGAGGGTCCTACATCTTGCAGGCAACAGGAAGTCAACTGAAACACTGGGTGATATCCTGAGCTTTACTCTGCTAAGCCATTGTCCAAATAGCCTTATTCATCAACCAATAAAAGCAACACATATACAGAAGGACATCCCACATCACTTATGCTAGGTAAATGATCTCCCATTGAAATATATCTCCAGCCCTCTTTTTATTTTTAATCTTGAGACAGGGTCTCACTAAATTGTTTATGCTGGCCTTGAACTTACTTTGTAGTCCAGGCAGGTGTTGAACTTAGGACTCTCTTGACTTACTCTCTTGAGTAGCTGGGATGACACCCCCAGATGTAGCAGTATTTTGCTTTTTTAAACAACTGATAGGCAAGAACGAACGGATCTTTTAAGACTATTCATCCATCAGTCATCCATTAATCAATCCTTCATTCAATGTGTGTGTGTTGTAGGAGTTGGATCTACCATATAGTTTCTGGAAATCAAACCCAAGTCATCAGGCTTGGCAGCAAGTGCCGATACCCACTGAGCCAACTCAGTAGCCCTGAACACATCTTCTGAGATAACAGTCCGCAGATGTTTTCAAGAACACGAAACAGACAAAACCGGCTTACATTAAATAGGTGTGACTGGGATTCTAAATGTTGTGAGCAGAATTGGAATAACCTTGGTCTCTTCAGCATTAAACCGCGACAGTAAAACATTCATAGCTTCCTGACTGTTTTGGGCATTGTGTGTGGGTCTTTTGATTACAGTATATCTGTGTATCACATGCGTGCAGTGTTTAGAGAGGCCAGAAGAGGGTGTTGCAGAGTTGTGAACCATGTGGGTGCTGGGAATAAAATCCAGGTCCTTTGGAATAGCAGCTAGTACTCTTACCTACTGACCCACCTCTCCAGCCCATTTCCAGTACTTCCAAGGATCACATACATGATGGTGTATAGAGATACCATCTTCATAAGCTGCTGTTATTTTTGTTGTTTTGGGAATGGAACCCAGATCTTCATGTGTGCCCAGAAGGTGTTCTACCACTGGGTTGTAGCTCCAGGTATGGGAGATTCTTATTTAATTCTGGGCAAGAGAGATGACTCAGCAGTTAAAGCACACACTGTTCTTGTGCAGGAGTGGAGTTCAATACCCAGTACTTACACAGTACTTATACAACCACCTATTACTCCAGCTCTGAGGTATCTGTTCCCTCTCTGGACTCCAAGGACCTCTGTGTGCATATCACACACACACACATACACACACACAATTTAAAAAATAAAATAAATCTTTCAAACTTAATTCCGGTATACTGCTTTATAGAAGTACTCATCATGTAGTGTGTGTATGTGTGTGTGCATGCGCACAGATACACATGAATGCTCTTCCCACCCCAGAAATACTGTTAAAATGCAGATTTGGGATCAGTAGGTTGGGGCTGGAGCCTGGGACTTTTAATTCTCAACAAACATCCTGGACTTTCGGAGTCTAAAGGTCAGTGAGCCGTTCTTTGTGTTTACAGAATATAAAGCACATTCATATGTATTATCATACTTGTTCCTTGTCCCAGGCCTATAGAGATTCATGGAGACATAAATGTTTAGCCAAACCCCGAGCATATACAATATGGTGTAATGAAGTGGATAACTGGCCAGTTGGCAAACAAAAAGGACATACAGATACAGCTGGAGTTGACCCTCCATATCTGGAGTTCTGCATCTGACCAACAAGGGTGGAAAATAGAATAGAAAAATGTGTTTGTACTAAACACATACAGATGTCAATTCCTTGTCATGATTCCTGATAAAAACATACAAGCCAACAACTATTTACATGCATTTACATCTCATTCGGCAGTATAAGCAGTCTGGAGACGTGTAGAGTGGATGGCAGGAAGTCTGCAGATTAGCGTCTTCGGTATACCCCGGATTTAAATAGCCTTCAAAACCAAGCAGGGCCGGGCGATGGTGGCGCACGCCTTTAATCCCAGCACTCAGGAGGCAGAGGCAGGCGGATCTCTGTGAGTTCGAGACCAGCCTGGTCTACAGAGCTAGTTCCAGGACAGGCTCCAAAGCCACAGAGAAACCCTGTCTCGAAAAACCAAAAAAAAAAAAAAAAAAAAAAAAAAAAAAAAAAAAAAAAAAAAAAAAAAAAACCAAAAACCAAAAAACAAACAAACAAAAAAAAACAAGCAGGAAATAAAGGTGAGGTGGGGGTTAACTTTATGGGGAGGTGATTTCAGCCGGGAAAGTAAGAAGAGCTACCAGAAGGTCATCAGCAGACACTAGGCAGTACTAGGAAGTTCCATTCCAAATCGGGGGCGTAGGCACAGTGGCCTGGAGAAGTGAAGCCACGTTTCCTAAATAAGTCCCAAGTAAGTCTTGAGGGTTGAAGTTCACTAGTGACAGACCCGGGATTTGCTGTAGATCACTGTGGCTGCTGTAATGTAAAAAATGTAAAAAATCCCGGGTCACCTGGAAGCTGTGTAGGTAGGGTAAGGTATCCTGGACCATGGGTGCTGGAGGGGGGAGCAGAGAAGCCAGGACTGACACCCTGGACCAGCTTGGGGCTCAAGAGTCCCCGAATGGACAAGCCTCAGGGCACACGGAGGACGTCCAAAACAAGTGTGCTCCAAGGCATCATTTAACTTTAACAACCACTCCCCTTTTCTTCCTTTCAGAGGACCTGGGCCTCCTTCTATGCTTTGCTGATTATGCGGACCTCTGGGACTCTCGTCTTTATCTGCCTCTCTGTCAAAGAAGACCGGGCCACAGCAACACCCTAGGTTTCCAGTCTTGTTCCCCCAAGCCTGGCGTCAGGCTCTCTGGAGAAGCGGCGGCCTTGAGCAGCCAGGGGCCTGGACACCGAACTGCTGCACATTTGTCTCCTCCCTGGACACTCCCCCCAGCGCTGCCAGAGGTGGAGCCCATGGGGCACACGCGGGAGGACCAGAGGGAGGCTCGGCTCTTCCCTGACTCTCAGGCAGCGCGCACAAAAGCCCGGTGCAAACTGCGGGTCCTCTCCGCTCGGCGCGGGACGCCAAGGCTCTGCGTGCCCAGCACAGGCCTGCAGGGGGCGCCCGCTCCCGCGCCGTCCCGCCCTCCGCGCCTCCGCCGGTCCCCTGCACGGCCCGGGGCGGGCGCATTGGGCCAGCAAACTCCGGGGATTGACTCCCCGCGCGATCACTTCCGCGTCCCGCCGCCGGCCGCCGCCATCGGACAATGGGCCGCGCGCCGCGGCTGCCGTGAGCTCTGCCGGCCCCGACCGCCGGCCCCTGGCCAGCCGCTGCCCAGTGGGTTTGCAAGTTCGGCTGCCCGACCTGGACGTGGGTTTGTTTTATCTCCTTACTTTTCTCCGTCTTCTTTCGTCTGTTTTTGGTTTTCTGTCTCATAAAAGAGAACTTTTCCAAGCAGGCCGGGCACAGCTGAAGGCTACTCTGCCCCCACGTGGACGATCCCCGGGGAAAAGAAGTCTGGAAGTAAACTTAGCCCGCTGGCCTGAAGGCCTCAACTCTGGTTGGACTGTAAGTTTGGAGTCATGACCTTCAAGCTGGGCAGGTGGGAGTCTTTATCTGCCTTGGGCTGGACCTGAACCTCCGCCAGCGCCCAGATCTCCCCACCCCCCAGATCTCCCCACCCCATTCACACCTTGTACCGGGGCTAGGCCCCCGAATACTGATCTGCAAGCAATATGGATAAATATGACGACCTGGGCCTGGAGGCCAGTAAGTTCATCGAGGACCTGAACATGTACGAGGCCTCCAAGGATGGACTCTTCCGGGTGGACAAAGGTGCGAGCAACAACCCTGAGTTTGAGGAAACCCGAAGGGTGTTCGCGACCAAGATGGCCAAAATCCACCTCCAGCAACAGCAGCAGCAACAGCAGCTCTTACAGGAGGAGGCCCTGTCTAGGGCTGGCAGAAGCCCTGTCAACGGTGGGAGCCGGCAGGGTGTGAGCAGCAAGCTGACCGCAGATGGTGCTGCCAAGCCCCCTCTGGCTGCGCCAGCAGTAGCACCTGGATTAACCACCGCCCCCGTGGCTGTGCCGCCTTCATACCCATCTCAGGAGCAGAGGGCCAGGCCATCTGCCCATGGTGCAAAGCCTGGCAGTCAGAACTGTGGTTCCAGGGAGGCGCCTGTGAGTTCCCAGAGGCCTGCTTTGCACGGTCTGGGTCCCTGTGAAGACCCTTCCTGCCTCACTCACGGAGATTATTATGACAATTTCTCCTTGGCAAGCCCACAGTGGGGTGATAAGCCAGAAGCAGCCTCCAGTATGAATCTGAGTGTGAAGAGTGGGTGGCCTGGTTGCCCAGGGAATGATTCCCCATTGCCCAGATCCTGCGGGGACCATCACCCTTACCAGCCACAGCTCCCCATGTGCTCTGGCAGGTCTTTTGAAAGTGGCATCGGTGGCCAGGATGGTGGCATTAGTGGCCACAGCAATGTGAAGCCAACAGGCCTTTGGTCTACTGCCTCCTCTCAGCGAGTCAACCTCGGCTTTTCCTCTCTGGGCTTAGAGAATGGGGCCCCTGCTCAACCGAGGAGCACAACAGTTTCGGCACCTCTGGTCCCTAACAGCACTAGCCAAGGAGCTCGTCTGAGAAGAGATTCAGGTCTGGAATGTGAGGCTTCAGGCAGGGTCCTCAAACCTGCTGTGGACCCTCAGCCTTGGCTCCAGGATGGGCCCAAGTCTTACCTCTCTGTTTCCTCTCCATTATCCTCAACAACTGTCAAGGACAGTACCCAGCCAGGTATGACTCCTGGGCTGGGTCCGAAGCCTGGGTGCATAGACTCTGGCACTGGTCCCAAGCCCAGCCCCACCAGCCTTGTCCATCCGGTGATGTCCACTCCATCTGAGTTATCTTGTAAAGAGGGTCCTCCCAGCTGGTCCACCGACAGTAGCCTGGGACCTCTGCTCTCAGAGAGTTCCACCCCCACCAAGGTGAGGTTGCCCTGCCAGACCCTCGCACCAAGCCCCGAGCTTGGACCCTCCACGGCTGAATTGAAACTAGAAGCCCTTACCCAGCGTCTGGAGCAAGAGATGGACGCTCATCCCAAAGCTGATTACTTTGGTAAGTGAGATGCTTGTGGAATGGCCCCTGGTGGGGTGATGGGGTCCCCACCAGAATGCTATGGCTGGTCTTGAGGTGTTCTGCTATTATTTTCAAGTGTTTCTGCTTGTTCAGAGACTTGAAGAGGCGGCTGTGGGCAGAAGGCAGCCATCGTATGTGGGCGTTGTGATTCATGTGTGCAGGGTGAAGCAGGGTGGGATTGTTTACAGCTGCCCGCAAAAAAGGGGAAATGCTGTGAGTTTGGGTTTCAGGGGCTTGAGGTAACACTTTGAGCCTTGAAAGGCTTGGGCTGGGTGTGAATGGGAGTGTTTTTCCCAGGGCGAGATGTGTGGTTCTCCTCAAAGTCATCACGTGTGTGAGTGTAAGGAATGTGTGCCTTTTAGTACTTGTGTGCTGTTCAGTATGCTGGTTCTGCAGGTAGACCTGGACCAGCATCATACCTTTGCCTAGATGCTGGTTAGACCTTGGACCTGCTACAGCAGGAACTCAGGTTAGAACTCTACAGGGTCACTGGAGCTCCTGTGCCAGGTGCCTCTCAACTTATCCCACCCCAAGGCACCAGCCAACATCAGCAGGTGACCCTGCTGGGCAGAAACACCAGAGCCGGCTTTATCAGGTGACTGCTGATAAGGTGGTACCCACAGGTGTGACACAGGATGAAGAAGCTTCTTGAGGCTTTTACTCCAACTTGGAAGATTTCATTCTCTCTTCTGAAAAATCAGACCATTTTGAGACTGCTGGCTTTAACATTTTTCCTCTCCAAAGTGTTTGGAGGCAGCAAGAAAGTTTCTGTATTCCTCTGTTGAAAACAATGTCTGTCTCATGGGAGAGCGACTTGGAAAGACAGCCTGTGCTTAGGAGTCTGTGGCTTTTTTCATCTTTTTAATTTTCTCTCTATCCATTTTTGGCTTCTAAGTAATGGGCTCAAGATTTCTCCATAGTCCAAGACCTACCAAGCAGAGCAGTACTGGGGCAGGCAAGGCCCTTTGAGGGAAAGATGCTGGATTTCTCCTGCCCTCTGAATGAACAGGTTTGTCTGAGTCCCCAGGAGGGTCCAAGGAGCTGGGCCATGGGCATATATGCAGTCCACAGTACCACTGGGGTTTGCTCATTATAAGCAGTGCTGGGAACTAGTGTAGTTGCTGTTACCTGCTTCTTCCTAGGTTTATTTATTTTATTATTTCACGAATGGGGTGTTTTGTCTGTATATATGCCTGTGCACCAAAAGCGTGCCTGGTGCAGACAGAAGTCAGAAGACGTCATCAGATTGCCTGGGACTGGAGTTATAAATGGTTTTGAGCCCCCATGTGGGTGCTGGGAATTGAACCGTGGGCCTCCCGCAAGATCAACAAGTGCTCTTAGCTGCTGAGCTAACTCTCCAGCTCCTACTTTATTTTATTTTCTTTTTTCTTTTTTTTCTTTTTTTTGTTTTTTTCGAGACAGGGTTTCTCTGTGGTTTTGGAGCCTGTCCTGGAACTAGCTCTTGTAGACCAGGCTGGTCTCAAATTCACAGAGATCCGCCTGCTTCTGCCTCCCAAGTGCTGGGATTAAAGGCGTGCGCCACCACCGCCCGGCTTTTTATTTTATTTTTTTAAGAGCACACAGTATTATCCTGCTGTGAACTTCACCATCGTGTTTGGAGAGCATAGCCTTGAAAAATAATATTTAGCTGGAGATGCTGTGGGTCTTTTAATTTAAACTTATTTAGTTTTTAATTTAAAGCATGTGGAACAAAAAACATTTTATTGATTCAGGAGTGCTAGTTTATGCTCCTCATCAAAGCAATGATATTGACCCCTCTGTTTATTCATTCAGCCTCCAACCACTGGTCTCTCCTGTCTCGGGGTGTTCTCTGAGCTAGGCCTTGGGAGCACACAGTAGGTCAACCGTGAATAAGGACAAGTGGAAAGAAATGACCACGTACTAGGGAGAGAGCGGGGTGAAGCCTTGTCCTGCGGGTGACATTACTTGTTTTGAATTGAGTCATAAAGTGAATTATCAGCTGGCATTTGAAACTGAAGGAGGCAAGGGATGGCAGGACCACTGTGGGCCTTTGTAGGGAAAGGGCTGAGGCTCTGAGTTTGTGGAGCGCATTCCAGGCAAAGTCTGCCCTGTGCAGCTTTGGGTGCTGAAGTGTCTTTGTAATAATTTCTCTTGACTGATCATGTGGTAGAAAAATTCCTCCCTTTAAGGACTCGGCAGGCAAGTCTTAACAGACCATGGACTTCCCTGGGCAGCACCTCCCTTGCCTATAAAACCAGTTGGCTGGGCCTTTTCCCTTCCCCAGGTCTCAGCACTTGTAAGGTTCGGTATATATGAAATACTTCTGGGTAGAATATTATTTCATGGTGCAACACTTTTGCCAGAGGGAGCTGAAGAATTCTCTATCAGTCAGTAGAACTCTAGTTAGAAGCAAAAGAGACTAATGTTTGGTGTGTTATCTGAGATACCTTCCTGAGCGAGACAGAAGATGTGTCTTGGGTATCTGACTCTGGGCCAGAGTTTTTATGACTCTCCCCTTTACTGCTGTGAATGCTGTTGGATTCTGAAGATGCCTGGTTTCTGGTTATTTAATGGTTTTTAGAATTATATTAATGGGGGAGGAGGTAGGTGGGTCCCCGAGTGCCATGTATGTGTGGAGGTCAGAGGAAAACTTGGGGGAGTCAATTCTCTCACTCTACCGTGTGGGTCTTGGGGGCAAGCTTGGCATCAAGTGCCTGTACCTTTTGAGCCATCTTGCTGGCCCTAGTTTTTGGTTATTTATTAGCTCAGCACTAAGGGTACTTCTGGAACTGTGCATGGATGTCCGTCCGCGTGTGTGTGTGTGTGTGTGTGTGTGTGTGTATACGTAATTTTTAAATTTTTTTTTTTTTGAGTTAAGATCAGTAGTTGGGTGGGGTGGCACACACCTTTAATCCCAGCACTTGCGGGGCAGAGGCAAATGGACCTCTGTTAGTTCAACGACAACCTGGTGGGACAGAAACCTCTGCCAATAAAGGTCTCACTCTATAGCTTAGATTGTAGCTCTCAATTACCTTCCTGTCTCAGATTCCCGAGAGCTGGGATTATAGATATCAGCTACCACACCTGGCTCCTTTATGTGTATAGACAAGCTCTGTTTCTTTCCACTCTTCCTATTTTTCATTTTGATTTGATACTCAAATGATTGTGCATATATATGAGGCCATGAACACGATTTCAGCACAAAGTTCAGAGAGCAGGTGAGGGCACTTGGCATTGCCATACCTTGGACCCTCATCATTTCTTTCTGTTTCACAAGCCTCTCTTTGTTCTCTGGAAACGTACAGTCATTTGTCCCCAGCTATTGTCACCATCCCCCCTTGTGTCAGACGTGAGAAGCTGTTCCTCCAATGCAGCCCTGGCCCCATCTCTCTCCTCCCCACGCAGTCCCTGCTCTACTCTGGTACTCTGGTCTAGTCTCTGCTTCTTTGAGATCAACCCTTAAACTTTGTGTGAATGACAGCATGTGGTATTCATTTTTCTCTGCCTGATTTTCTTCATCTCTCATGGTGAAAGAAGCTGTTGATGTTGTCAGAGATGCTTTTGGGCTCCCAGCTTCCCTGATGCTCATTGCTCTTGGAAGGGAACACAGCTTCTGTCTTCATGAAGCTGCTCATGCTGCAGAGAGGAGGTGAAGAGGGTGTCGTAAACTTGTTTAATAGGCCCCAACTTTTCCTCCTCACTCTGGCCCTCTCCTCCCTTACTAAGGAAAAAGAACACAAAGACTCATGTCAGTCTGACTTTCTTGGAAGCTAACTCTGAAACTTTATTTTGGAGGGTGCTCACTAAGTGGTACTCTTGGGGTACACATCTGACCCCATAGGGAGGTTACAAAATCCAATGTTATCCTGACCTGGCTTTCACACTTTCCCCAGGCATCAGCCACTGTGTGTGGGTCACTCTGGGAAGAGGTGACCTTGGGTAGAGTGTCCCCCTACGGGCTGATGCCAGTCTCACAGTAGCGTCTGGGTCACTGGTGCTGGAAAGAGCGTGTGACCTTGGGTACCCTGGCTCTGATGACAGCTGCGGTCCACCGAAGGCCAGGCTTTGGGTGAAGTGCTTGGGATACACGATTGCTTGCTAACCTTCACAGATAATGGCGTAGGCACCATGGTCCTCTGTCATAACAGAGGTGAAAATGTTCAGTGACTTGCCCACAGACACCCTAGCCACTGCTTTTCCTTCGGGGGGTGGGGGGCTAGCTGGTCTACCAGTTCTGGCTTAGGTATATACCTGTGTTCATCGACCCAGGAGAACACACACTCTGTCCCCCTTTGCTAGGTACCTGACTAAGGGCCTGAAGGAAAGAAAACACAGGTTGCAGAGTCTCCTTGCCCATTAGTAGAGGATGGACCCCTCCCCACCTACAGAGACCCAGGGAGACTGGCTCTGTCTTCAGCTTAGTTAGTGCAGGCACCAGGACACAGGATGTGATTTCCCCTGGGATGGCTCTGTCTCTGCCTGAGCCCAGCAAGCCCCACTGGTTTCATATTAGTGGCTGTGTAGGAGGTGGATTGAGCAGCCTAGACAAGAAGACAGCGCAAGCTGTCTGTCAGTTCCTCTATGTGACATTTTGTTTTGCCTTTCTTTTAATTTCTGGAGACAGGATCTTTTGTAGCCCAGGCTAACTTAGCTGAGGATGGTCTTGGACTGCTGACCCTCCTCTCTCACTTCCCAAGTGCTAGAATTACAGGCACCCAACCCAACCACTCTGTCCTGTGACCTTTCAGCACATCTTATCTGACTTTGTGGCGGGTATGAAGTGAGGGGCTGAATTCCAGCGTGGATGGAAATAATGGGCAAGAACTTGACATGGGCTGGATCTGCAACAGAGAAGCACCTCCAGATTTCTAGACAGGGCGGCTTTTCACAGCAAACACAGCCTACCCTTAGAGCATTGCATTACCCAGAAGCCTCTGCAGCCCTTACAGTCATTACTGTCCTCTGGAATGTGCGGCAGAAAACATGGTTTGAGGTGG